AGTACAACAGCCGTTGATAGGGAACAGCTCTGTGGTCACGTCGTTTCCCCGGCAACGAGAAGACATGCAATAATGGAAGATAACATTTTTGTGCGGTCCTCGCTGGTGCCATATAACGAGGGCTATTAGTCCAGTTGTTGGTTGACTCATCTGAGAGTTGGAGTTCTGAGAAGTGAGAAGCTGGTAGCTGATGCCAGGAACGTCGGTAGTTGGAGCCGCTACCAAGCAACAGCTAGTGAACACTGAGAAGACTTTATGTGTGCTGTAGTTACAGTGGTCTTTGGAGTGTGTTTGTAGTTGTGAATGTAAGTGTCCAGTAAATCAAGTTACCAGCCCAAATCTCATCACTACTAACACCCAAACACGTGACAATAATTTAACTCTGATGAAGTTTAAGTAACATACCGTATGTGTATAAGGGAACCGAAAATAAAGAGTAATGGGTGTCGCTTGTTTCTCGAGGCACGTGGCCGAGGGCCTCTCCTGGTAGAAGACAATTTTTCTCTTCGTTACTTCATTCCGACCTGTTCCGGGGTCAGCCTCCTATCCAATGGGTATCAGTGAACCCCTCTCTTTCTCTTGGTGTAAGCGGACGCAGCGTCACACCAATGACTCACCACCAAATAATGCCGCAGGTTACAAACAGGCTGGAGCGATGTATCTGCACGAAGACAATGCCAATGCTTTGCTTTTTGCCTATATTTCAGACGCTACATCCATCCCTTATGCTCGCCCTGAAGACGTCATGTTCACAGCGCCATATTTGGGAGCCCGAGGGTACAACTTCATGCGTTCCTACCGAACGTCACAGATGAAACAGCCTTGTTTCATATTCGGTAGGTTCCAGGTTCAAATCCAGGCTACTTCGTGCGTTCCTACCGAAGGTCACAGATGAAACAGCCTTGTTTTGTATTCGGCAGGTTCCAGGTTCAAATCCAGGCTACTTCGTGCGTTCCTACCGAAGGTCACAGATGAAACAGCCTTGTTTCGTATTCGGCAGGTTCCAGGTTCAAATCCAGGCTACTTCTTGCGTTCCTACCGAAGGTCACAGCTGAAACAGCCTTGTTTCGTATTCGGCAGGATCCAGGTTCAAATCCAGGCTACTTCGTGCCTTCCTACCGAAGGTCACAGCTGAAACAGCCTTGTTTCGTATTCGGCAGGATCCAGGTTCAAATCCAGGCTACTTCGTGCCTTCCTACCGAAGGTCACAGCTGAAACAGCCTTGTTTCGTATTCGGCAGGATCCAGGTTCAAATCCAGGCTACTTCGTGCCTTCCTACCGAAGGTCACAGCTGAAACAGCCTTGTTTCGTATTCGGTAGGTTCCATGTTCAAATCCAGGCTACTTCGTGAGTTCCTACCGAAGGTCACAGCTGAAACAGCCTTGTTTCGTATTCGGCAGGTTACAGGTTCAAATCCTGGCTACGAGAACGGCTATGCTGACTAAGATTTTTGTGGTTTTCCTCACTCTCTCCCGGGAAATGTCGGGGTAGTACCTTAACTACCTTCCTTCCACAGAATTATCAATTCATTAATCACTCTCCATCCTACCGAACAGCTTGGCTAGCGGTAACGCTCAGATTCGTATTTGGGAAGTCCTCGGTTTATATTTCTGTCGAAACACGAGGAATCTTGATTATGGTTTTCGTGATATTCCTCAGTCCCTCCGGTATAACGCTGGGATGGCATCTCAGTCAGTCCACACTCCCTTCCGAATACATTGCATTCATCCACCCAAAGCTATATAGTCTAGTTAGTGACAGCGTCGTTAAACTATCAATACATATGGAATTTAACTTTCGCTAAGGGATCAACGGTCAATAGGAGACATGATAATGATCCATGAAGACGCATGGGGACGAAGTTAGAAACTCACCCCCTGACAGAGGTGAATGTCCTTATTATCCAGAAGGGCAATTCTTCTGGTGTGCTGTAAGGCACAAGTGTTCGTGCCTCTTCTTAGCGTTCTAGTGATTTAAACGGAGCTGTTTCCACACAGCCACACCCTATAAGTAGGAGGAGGGCTAGCCCTCAGAGCCATTAGGAACACAGTGGCGGCGAATTTTGTAACCTGAAAGCCGGAATCAATCCTCGGACGAGAGCCAGGACGTGCAAAAAATAAGATGGTTTTCCAGGGACCGTTGTACTCCAATTATCTGTTGTGAAAACACTTGCTTGTCACTTAGTTGCCCCTCGCTTGGAGTCAGGAACTGGGATCGTATACCGCCGGAGGCGAAGCACTGTGCATGCTGACAAGTGGAGAGGGGCCACACCTGTGTTCATTCACACCATATTGTCGGTAATGAAGCTGGCTGCATACCGACCGCCGACTGCCATGTCACTCAATACCGAAATAAAGAACGTAACTTCGGACTGTGAAGAGTTCTATCTTTTGGGATATAACACCATGTAATCTGATGAAATTCAATGGTCGTTTCGGAGGAAGATACCACCTCCATCTTCATGGTCGAAGAATAAGCCAAGCAAGAAACCAGAGTGAAAGCAGAGGGCGAGCAGAGATACAGCGGACTACACTGAACCAGAAACTGTATCGATGTATCGTAACGTACGGTTCAGTCTTATTGCATTCAGGAACAAGAGATCCCTCTTTTGTTTTGTGGCTGCGCATGCGCGGACAGTGGACGTCTAGACAACACTGTGTGTTTATATCTGGGATTACATATGGAGGAGCATTATTGGATTATGGCAGAGCTGTGTTAAGAGGTGCCGCACTCTTCGTCATGTCGTGTCCCTGGGGACAGTTTGGCCAGTGCCTGATAGGCCCGGCCCACTTCGTCATTTTATACTTAGCCGCACGCAGTGCGCCCTCACTACGGTTCGACCATGGAGGAACTGGAGTGTCCACTCTTCCGCTCCCGTGAAGACAGTAACAATATGATGCAGCTTAGGGCTGATGAGTGGGACTGAACTGACTTCATGGCGTAAGGTACAGCTCGCCAATCGCAAACACTCAGCTATAGTAGTGTCTTCGGAAGGGTTTTGTGTAAAGTAAAGCTTTCTCTGTAACAGGCCGTGCAGGCCCATAGGGTTGTGAGACGTCGAGGCTTCCACATTTTCTAGACAGTCGGCTCACAGATGGCGGTGAGGTTGTCAGCCTTACTCTCCGGCCGGCCGCCAATTTACCCCCAAGAAGATTCCTGGTACTCATTTCTCTTAGAGATTTATTCGACCCCAGGGCCATAGTGCGGTTGGAAAGACTAGGTCAATTGAAAAATCCAGTGACCTAATCGGGAATCGAATCCGGCATCTCGCTACCCCATAGGGATCAACGGCCTCTTACAGAGATAAAGTTACTATCTTCTTGGATGCGACGCGGTGTAGTTCAGTAGATAGATGCCGACGTTTAAGAAGAACCTTCTCTTCCATCTTCAAGAGGCATATTACGGCATGTAGTTTCGAGAAAACTTATCGCGTCCATCTTCAAGGTAGAAGAGTACGGTTTATCTTGTCTGACGCCGTACTTAGCCGATAAGAAAAATATGATGCGAATATTTTCACACAAGGTTGCCGACGTTTCGAAGGAATGTGTTGCCTTCATTTGGGGAAGAGCACAAGATGGATGCAGCAAATTATTCCGAAACTTTTGTACCTCTCTACCAAACTACACGGTGTCATATCCCAGAATATCTCAATCCTAATACTCGCAGACAAGAGAACGCCAGGTCTCGCGCAATTATGTAATATTTCGCGAACATTTTGCAGCTTGTTTGAGCACTGTAGATGCGCAAAAACAAGTCATAGCGTGACTTGCCTTGTAAACGAGGGAACAGATTGCTATCACTGTGCGTTAAATGGAGCCAAATCTTTAATGAACACGAATAATTACATGCATTCAACATGCCCGTCTCTGAACCTATTAGAATTTTAATTGATGAAAAATTCAGCTAGACAAATGCTCAACGAGTTGAAAGATAAATTGGCTAGAGCGAGTAATAAATGAGGAAGAGACGAGCGCAGGACGGTCAGACATTAGCAGCATTCGTAATTAGATTAATATAAAGAGCAATAATCTTGCAGGCGCTGCTAGACCAGGCTGCTACCTGCGTCACAGCCAAGAACTGATCATAATGTATGTACGAGTACATCCAGACAGTGTGAAGTTCTTACGCCATGCCACAAACGCGTAGAAATAAAACTCCACGCAGCCTAGATCCACACACCAGATGGAGATGAGTAAAATCTTTCACGTTCCGGCCGTTTTATCCCTAGTGAATCGGCTGCAGCCTGTGTTTATAACATTATCCTAACAGTACTAGGCGATATGCATATAAACAACAAATTTTCTCTTTATATACAGGCGGGATAGCTCAGTCGATATAGGGATTAGGTTATATTAGGTTATGGTCTGGGTGATTGATGGATCAGTTTCGACTCACGGCAGGGTTAAATTTTTTATCTTTTTCACAGCTTCCCAACCAGCCTCTTATCCATTTGTAACGGGGCCTTTTACCTGGGAATAGAGCGGCAGGAGCGTGAAGCTGATGATTCACTTCATCTAGTATTGTGAAGTATCTCCAATCCTGATCTGCTCACTTCAGACCAATCATTTGTCTCTTCTTCCTTAGTGGATCAAATTACAGTACCATTAGTATCGAGACTCTACCTAGCCTCGAACGAAACTGTTACGGTCTAATTGAAGTTCTATTCCGGAATTCAGAGGGACTGAGGAAATCCACGCCAGACCTCATACAGTATATCGGTTGTTCCGGGCGACGTTCGAACCAAGCACCTCCCCAATACGAGTCTAGAGTGTTGCACTAGGGTAATCAGTTCTGTTCAGGACTATGCTTCACAGAACAGAAAACAAAGGATGTGTATTCATGTTTAGTGTTTTTGACAACAGACTGCATTGCGAAAGGTTCCGGATATTTATCTTCATTTTAATATCATCACTTGCGTATGTGAAGCATGGTTGATGAGACACTGGCCGCCAGAGGACGGTTCAGCAGATCAGAGTCGCTCGGGGAAGTGATTCATCAGCTTGGCAAGTGAATGAAGGACTGCACTACACGCTGCATCCTTCCTCGACTTGGATGTGTCACGCTATGGTGAGTACCTGTCGCTTCTTGCGGGCGGCTCGCAGACACGACAGCTCGGAACATGCTTGATTTTTAGTTAGTTATTTAACGACGTTTTCAGTACGGAGACTAAATAGTGCCGACATATGCTTATACTGCTATTTTTGTTTCAATATTTGTAGTCATAGTAAAACTCTGCTTTTATGTTAACTACTATTTTTTACAATTTCTTCTTTAGAGCAGTGGGTACGGTATGTACCCCTACCTTAACATTCAATGACTCCGCATTCTGCGTGGCGACCACAGTGGCCGCGCGGTCTAAGGTATGAACTGTCTTCGCTCGCTCGAACATTGTGATCGTGGGTTCGAATCCCACTCAAGGCATGTATATATGTGTGCATTTATTCTGTGTCTGTGTTATTCTGCGTGTAGGCAGCGGTCTTGCGACGGGCTGATCCCCGTCCAAGGAGTCCTACCGACTGTGTGTAGGATTAAGAAACTGAAAAAGCGATTAAGGTCCAACAAAAGGACCATAGAGCCATAGATAAATAGATAGATAGGAATATGGACGGAGTAACTAATTAACCAGGTAAGTCCAACACAGTAACTATACATGTGGAGCCCGAAGTCCGTCTGCCCAACCAACTCCACAGAGCTGAGACCGTCTTGAGAAGCCACCGGTTACTCTTTGAGGAACCCGATGCTTCATTATCACGTTCCCTATCCTGAGCCAGACGAATCCATTCCGCATACTCAAATACTCCTTCTTTGAGAGCTGTTTAAATATCGTTCTCCCATCTACGTCTAAGTCTTCTTATTGTTCTATGTGTTGTGTGTGTTCTCTTCTCTCCTCTGCATGCCAAGAGGAAATCCACGAAGGCCTTATGCAGGATAGCAGAGACTCGAACCGAGCAGCTTCAGAGTGCAATTCTGGAGCGCTGCCGTCTACCAACCAGCAGGGTATGGATCAGTTAACGAACAGGATTCAGATAATCATAGGATTCCCATCGCGGCGGGTCCGGGTTAGATCCAAGGGCAGATCATGTGGGATTTCTAATGGGCAAAGTGACACTGAGGTGGGATTTTTCTAGTTCTTCCGTTTCCCCTGCCAATTTTCACTCCACTACTTGCTCCACATGCTGTGGTGGCTGTATACTGAGAGCGTCATTAAATAACCAACTTAGGAAAGAACCAATCCGTAAATACACTGCGTGGGCAAGGTGCAAGTTACTTGAGTGTTAAAGAAAGGCATCACCCACCCGGGATTTGAACCAGGTACCTTACGGTTGCTTTATTTTTTCTGCAGGATTTTAAACATCTCACTAAAGGACACCTCCAATAGCTCATGTTGTTAGGTCCCGCTGCTGCTGTGAGTCAGATTGCTCGATAAGCCAGGCTCATCACGTTTTGCCACTGTGGGGTCGAAACTGCGCTTCATTGACAGACTTGAATTGCCCATTAAATGAACAGCAGAATAAAATGGGCTTAAGTACATTTCCAATGAGGTTGTTCCTGTTACACTATAACACAAAAAAATCGCCCTTATGGTCATGTCACATAAAGTCTCTGTTATACTCGGAACATAATCTACATTGGGACATTGAGCAGAGGCTTTTTAACTAGGGATGTTGTGGAAGTTAGAACACATTACAGGGTTCGAGCACTTCATCTAGAATTACTGGGAGATGGAAGCAAGCGAGACACGACGACAAGAACAGATGTTAGTCAAGACAACTCTTGATAAGGAAACTTAATTTATTTAGTTGACCGAATGCGAGTGACGTTCAATTTAGAAGCAAATGTGTTTATGTAACAGTGTCATTCAAACTATAAAAACCTTCGGAATTTCATATTGAATATCTGTCACTGTTTTCTTCTGTAATTTATTTCATGACGCTGTCAATATCAACATCAATCAAGATCAACCAAGTCCATAACACCTAATCCTATCTCTCTAAGATTCATCTTAATATTAACCAAGACGTTGGTGGATGTATAATATTAAAATGGATTTTAAGAGCTGTAGGATGGGGCGGTAGATTGGATTGATCTGGCTCAGAATAGTGACCAGTGGTGGGCTCTGGTGAACACAGAAATGAACCTTCGGGATTCATAAAATATTGGAAAGTTCTTGAGTAGCTGCACAACTGACGGCTTCTCAAGGAGGGCTCAGCTCCGTGGAGTGATGTATAAAATAGGTGGAAGGAAGCAGTGGCCCCATAATTTGAATTATTATCCCAGTATTATCCTGGAGAAACTGAGGATAATCACGAAAACCCTCTGTCACGATAGTTAACTTCCAGCTGGAAATCACTGAGCACGTTGATCTAGAAGCAACGCCATGGATTTTTATTCGGGACGTACAGGGTTCGAATCTTGACTGTAACACCGGCTAACATTATTGAGGTGTTAAGTGGTTTTCATCGGCCCCTCGAGTCAAATGACAGAGATCGCTCCCTTCCCAATCCTTTCCAATCCATTATTCACCTATCATCCTACTATCCGACTCTATATGGTCTAGATACTACAGCATCGTTTGACCACACACAACCTAGCAGAACATCGAACCGAGTACCTCCCGAATGCAAGTCACAAGCGTTACTTCTTGACGAAAATCCTCTGTACTATCTGTGGATACTCAGCAATGGTAATCAGCAGTTGTCAAAATAATTCTCGTTATCTTTGTGTTTCATACAGTCACACTGTAGCCACATAGTTCCAATGAAAATTGTTTCAAAAGGCTCCAGCATAACTAACTAACTTCATGGAACTTGCCAGTTGTGCAGATATTCAAGAATTTCCTAGAATTTTATGGAATCCGAGGGTCGATTACCGTGTTCATAAAAACTCCCTCCACTGGTCCCTATCCTGAGCCAGATAAATTCAGTCCATACCATTCCATCCTATCTTTCTAAGATACATTTTAATATTATCCACCAGCTGCGTCTTGGTCTCCCTAGTGGTCTCTTTCCTTCTGGCTTTCCCACCAATATCCTAAACGCGTTCTTCTTGGCCCCCACTCGTGTTACATGCCCTGCCCATCTCATCCTCCCTGACTTCATGATTCTAATTATGCTTGGAGAAGAGTACAAGTTATGAAGCTCCTCATTATGCAGTTTTTTCCTGTTAATTCAGCTCTCTTCGGTCAAAATATTCTCCTCAACACCCTCAGTCTATGTTCTTCCCTTAATGTCAGAGACCAAGTTTCACACCCGAATCCAGTATATTAGCAGAAATTTATTATTTACAATGCACGATTCATATTGCTGATGAGTTTGTTCCTTCCTTGTGCAGGCCTGTTCTGGCACATATAATCGCATTCGAGTGGCTCTTGTATTCCTGCTGATCGTACCAGCCCTCATTCTGTGGGTGTGGTTGCTAGAAGAAGCCATTAGAACATCGATCCAGTGTCCCTCTGAGTGCTGGTGCGACCCTGGGCGTCGGACGGCTGACTGCTCCAACGTGTCCCTTAAGGATATTCCTCAGAGTTTCCATGAAGATATCCGTGATCTAAGGCTAGATCACAATAATATCTCCGTGTTGAGGAAGGACGTCTTCAGATCTGTCGGGTTGCACTCGCTGGAGATACTCAGTATATGCCACACTGGCCTCATCGTGATGGAGTCAGGAGCGTTCAGGGGACTTCCCCGGCTTGAGCAGCTCCACTTACACAATAATTTGATAAGGACGTTGCAGCCCGGGACATTCGCCAATATGACTAACCTGCGTGGTCTGCACTTGGCAAATAACAGGATACAGACCCTGGAGCCTGGACTCTTCACTGACCTCATCAACCTGAATTATATTAGCCTAGAAAGTAATTTTATTCAGCTATTACAAGCGGATGTATTCTTGGGGTTAACGAAACTCAGAAATCTTTGGTTATCTGAAAATGAGATAGTCTATCTCCATCCTGTTACGTTCAAACATATGAAGAAGCTCAGGCTAATCTGTCTCGAAAACAACACGAATCTTCAAGTTCCAGCGGACAAACCTTTCCTTGATGTACCTACTTTGGAGAGTTTGATACTGTCCAATTGTAACATTACAAATCTCTCGGCCAAAACGTTTCAGAAGACAAGGAATTTGACAACATTGTATCTCCAAGGTAACAATTTGAAGACATTTGATATGGGGATATTGAAGGTGTTGCCATATCTGTCATCTCTTTATTTATACAAGAATCCTCTGCAGTGTGACTGTCAATTATTGAAACTTTGGCAGTGGTGCCGAGACCACAAGGTGAAAACTGGAATTGATGAAGATGTACCGAGATGTGAGAGCCCTGAACAGGTATCAGGTCTGTGGTGGGGTGTATTTGGACAAGCACAATGTAAAAGCAACCAATTGGAGTTCATTGGGGACTACAAAACAACTGTCCACGAGTTCGCCGACCGAAATGACGAGATCGAGAAACATTTGAATTTTCTGAAATATGGCCAGACATCTGCATACGCAGTTCTCTTTCTTATTGGAACAATAGGGAACACAACAGTGATTATCATAATAGTTTGTAACAAGCGAATGCGTACAGTGTCTTACGCGTATATTCTGAACCTTGCGGTTGGAGATCTCTTCTCCTTGACGATGAATTTACCGCTGTACCAAGCAGTGGTGCTGTCACAGAACTGGGTACTGGGAGAATTCTTGTGTAAGTTGGCAGTGTTCTTTCGCCCTCTGTCAATTGGGGTGTCTGGCTTCTCTGTCACCATTCTGAGTGTCCAGCGATACTTCGCCACTTTGGGTTCATTACGGCTGTCCACACGACTGACCACGTTCCTGATCATTCTGGCAGTGTGGATCATTGCTATCTGCTGTGCTCTACCGTCAGCATTCTCAGTGCACGTGGATCACAACATGATCTGTACGTCAGACAATCTGGAGTACTATCGTATAGTGGACTTGTTCCATTTACTGACGTTTTGTGTAATGCCTCTTTCTGTGATAGTGACTATGTATGTCATGACGGCTCGCCAGCTGATCATGAATGCTCGCCACATGCAAACAGACGCGAAGGCTTGTAAAACCCTGGCCAAAGTCGTTCTTGGTCTCGCCACTGTCTTCTTCATCAGCTTCGTGCCTTACCATGCTCTCTGGACAGTGATATTGTGGGAGATTATTCCACTGGAGCTGGAAATGACGTATGTGGTGTTTGCGTCTTCGTGTCTCCTCGTATTCAATTCATGTTTCAATCCGATTGCGCTGTACTGTACCAGCGTGACGTTCAGGAGACAGTTTGAACGCTATTTCCTGGCTTCGTGTAGATGTACGAAAATGAGGTTGAGGGACGAAGAGGAGTCAGACCTCCCTGCAGAAGAACCCTCTTATACAAATATCCCGGTTCGATACCAGCGACGCTCTACTTCGGAAATAATTTTATTTTAATCAGAAAGTGTCTCAGATCTGCAGGATATGTAACTGTTACTCTGTCAAGTTTAACCAGAGGAACATACCAGCGGACAGACCGATGCTTCGCATCTGATATACCCGTTACTTTGTTTTGATATAAACTGAAAGAAGGACACAAGAGGGGTGATGAAAAATATAATTATTTTGGAGGCTGACACTGAAAGTGTTAATTCACAGTTCAGTTTTCGAAAACTTCTCCAAGTGTACTAAGAATATTTTTTTTGTAAAAGATTTCTTATGACTGAAATTATTAATTGATGAATCTTTTAAATTAACCGACGTATTAATTAATCATCGATTATTTTCTTTAATTTGTTAATTCCTGAAATTCTTATAAATGTAAAAGGTAAAATTGTACCTGTGCTTAATTAATTAAGCGCTACACCACGAAGACTTTTCAGGGAGTGAGGTTTCCATGAATTACTCTAACTTCACGATAGAAAGTACCGCTTCATACAGTACGAGCATGACACTTTTCAACTGTTTACGTTTCATATTGTCTATTACAACAGTAAATCCCTAACAAGAGGGTCGATATGGGTAATATCTTCAGTAATATTGCATGTGTGCCTAAGTTGTGACCATCTCTTATTACGCCTAACTCGATTTGCTACTTACGAATTAACTGGCCATGCACGTAACTTTGTATTCGGCAGCAACATGGCGCCCACCTCAGAACTGTTCATCTTAGAAGTATACATAGGTAAAGGTATCCCTGTAACAGTCCGTGGATACTCGTACGGTTGTGAGACGTCGAGGCTCCCACATTTTCTCTAGACAGTCGGCTCACAGATGGCGGTGAGGGCCAAAGTGCGGCTGAAAGGAATAGGCCAATTGAAAAAATCCACCTCATCGAGACTCGAACCCACGACCTTTCAGCTTGCAGTATAGTGCCTTAACCATCTACGCTACCGCTTGCAATCTTAGAAGTACATTTTTTTTTGCCAAAGCAAGACTCAAATCCCAAAATTATGTCTCAAAGAATAAATCCACCATATTAGGCTCGTATCTTTGTTTCCAAAAAATTAGGCCTTTGGTTACCTTGTGAAAAGGTCAGGCTTTTGTATTGTTTTCAAGACATATCCAAAAATCTTCTAAGAGTTGTTTTTTGTTTTGTTTTTAAAAATAATATTTAACGCCTCCTAAAATTAGTCGTTAGGTTCTGATGTTACAAACAAATTTCTGAAGCTGTCAGCGCTAATTTGGCGAATATGGTGGTAAATTTTTAAAGTTATTTGGGTTACCCGTTAATACGTAAGTGCAGTTTTATTTCTGTTCTAAATTTTAGATAGAGTGTATTTTTGTTTTCAGCCCTTATGAAGCAACCGAAAGAAAAGAAGGAGAGACAAGAGAAAGAAGCGTGTCTTGTTCTGTTTTGTTGTGAATGCTTCTGCAGTGTCAGTTTAGTGAACTCTGGACAGTCATGTACAGAAATTATAAAACATTTATTATTTCGAGTGAAATAAATGTGTTAATATGCCATCAAATATGTTTACATAACAGAAGAAATATTGTATTTATTCATACAGTTTATAGATAAATGTTACATTGCATTCCATGCCCCAAACTCACTCTAACAGCCATCCAACTGAAAGCTAAATATATTTCAAATGGTAATTTTGTCCCTCTGCTTAACTAATTAAGCACTACGTCATGAAAGCGTATGGAGGTGAGTGGTCAGCTTCAGGCACCGGCCGCTTTATCGCCGGAGAAGGAGCCCCCGGTACCCATTGGATAGGAGGTTGGGTGGACCCCAAAACCCGTCTCGAAAACGTGAAGAGAAACGTCTAGACCTCACCGGGATTCAAACTCAGACCTCTCGATCGTCCAGCCCGTAACCAGTCACTACACCGTCTAGCAAATACAAAATATAACAGAAATTAATTTATTCTCAAGGAGGAATTGAACGGGAAGTAAGTAATTGTACTAAAATTCAATAGGACATAGTTGTCACAGGATGTAGAACACAAATCGGCGCAAAGATACTGCGCACACTTCCCCGTGTGCGGCGGCCCTCGACTGCATGACCTTGGGAAACAAATCGACTGTTGCTCTACTGACCATTGTTCATATGGTCTAGAAGTGTGTGACGATGGCACATTGGTACAAATATATGTTTCTGCACATTATCCATCGTCCTGTTTGTATTTCAAAACACTACGTTTCGGGGACCGGATTCTGTCTCCGTCTTCAGGTAAAACCAATCCATAGATCTAGTTCCTATATCCGGACCATTGTTAGTTAATTAATACCGAACAACAATGAAATCCGTCACACAAGTAGAGCGGTGTTTGGTTTTTTGGAGCCAAATTTCAAGGGGCCCTATTTATTTTTTTTAATCTGGAATCTTCGTATTCACGCGTCACCGACTTATGAAGGATAAACGTGACTAAAACCCTCCAAACGCCCAGGAACTAACAAGGCAACACCCACCCGATCATCATCATCATCATCATCAGTAATCTGTCAAGACGACAGGTCCACAGTCTCTTCCAAAACAATTCCTCCACTTAATGCGCTCTAGAGCTTTCTCCTTCAAATGACAGTATCCTCTTCTGTCCCCAAGGTCATTCAGCATCTTCTTACGTCTTCTTCCTCGTCTTCTTGTCACTTCTATCCGCCCCTCTATCTTTCCTTCTATAACTTCTTTTAGAAGGCAGTTTCTGCGTAAAACATGACCAATCCAATTAACCTTCCGTGTTCTTATTTCGTGTAGGATATTCCTCTGCTCACTGACTCTAATTAACACTTCTTCATTTCTCAACCCGTCCATACATCCGTACAAATAGCCATGCGGACAGCTTTAAAGAAACGTATTCTTTTCTGATTCAGAGGCTTTGATAACGTGTAAATGAGCCATATTCTCGAGATAATTATTTTATAATCATAATTAACAATTACAATAATTGTAATAGGAACAAAAACTGTTCTGTCTGCATAAAGATGATCTCCAAAATTTTCTGAATAATAATCGTGAATTTTCGAAGACATTTGCCCCTCAAAACCAGAAGGCAGTAAGCAGGCTGAGTGAATGCCACTCCAGCGCAACCTCCTGCCGTGATGACAGGCCGGTCTCAATGGACTCAGCAGAGCTCAACCGCTCTCAATGCTGTCGTGCTGGTCAGCAGCGATTTCTTATCCCCTGCTCCCAGCATCCCGAGGGGCCTCGCCCGGCTGTGGCTGTACAATATAATGAAAACATCCGCCACCAATCATTTCAGCTCCACCAGACACACAGCCCCGCTCACAAAGAGGCGAATGCAAAGAACATGTGCGGAAAATGTTGCGGGTTACGGGTAGGACCGTGGCGCCGTGCCAGTGAAGTAGGACGGATCTTTCCTCATTTTCTGCTTCTCTTTCTCTCTTCTTTCCTCTCATTCTACTTTCATTCTACGACTGTTTCACGTTTCTGTTACTCTTCTTACCTCAGTCCCTTTCTGTTTAAATTCGTGTGGGTGCGAATGGGCGCAATGATTTCTTTATTTACTTTCATTTAAGGATATTGTCGTAGGAAAACGAGAAAGGAAGAGGCCACTAGGAAGACACAGAATGTTACAGAGATGTGACAGGGATGTGGGCTGCATTCATCTGGCTCAGGATACGGACCAATAGTCGGCTTTGCGAACATGGTAATGAACACGGTTTTCCATAAAATACTTGGAATTTCTTCAGAGGTTTAGCAAGAGGTCACTTACATTGAGTAAGTTTGTTAGTAACGCAAGACCACGGTGCGTCAATTAGCAAGGAATGAATTGGAAAAGATGTGGAAGAAGGCGGTAATATTGTAGCTTGGGGTAGTATCACGGCATTTACCTGTAGGGCCATAGTAAAACCAAGAAGAGACCGAGTCAGAATAGTCGGTCTCGGAACCGAGATCTGTACCCAGACAGGATGCAAGATTATGAGGTTCGGTAAAAGAAGAATACGTAGAGATTCACTCCATTCCACCCATACGCTTTCCTGGCACTGGGGTTGGGCGCAGGGGCAATTAAAAATTCCAGTGATGGCCTAAGCAGGACATAAGTAACACGCCTGTCTAAATAGGACACTACTCGTGTCGAACAACGCACGAGAACACTTGTATCGAGCTGCATCCAAAGAGGGCACTCTTTGCGCAAAATGCGGAGAGTTTGTTGTTTTCATATGGAAGCAGGTGATGCATAGCTACAGCCGTGCCTCAGAGGAAGAGGACTGCTTGGTTTGGTCGTCATGCAGTGACTGCCTAAGTTTGCGTTTGCGGTGTGTCAAAGTCTGACGCTATCCCTGTAACAGACCGTGGAGGCCCATGAGGTTGTGAGACGTTGAGGATCCCACATTTATCTAGATAATCGGCTCACAGATGACGGTGAGGTTGTCAGCCTTACGAGCCGGCGGCCCTTTACCCCCAGGAAGATTTCTGGTACTCATTTCTGTTAGAGGCTGAGTCGACCTCAGGGCCATAGTGCGGCTTGAAGGATTAGGTCAAATGAAAAATCCAATGATCTCTTCGGGAATCGAACCCGCGACCTTCCCGCGTGTAGCATAGTGCCTGAGCCCACTAAGCTACCGCGTGCCCCAGCTTTATATACATGTGTGTGTGTATCGAAAGAGAGACAGTCTTAGTAACTAATTAACCGTGCACTACCCAAGAAGCGCCTCAAGCAGATGCCGTAATATTCACACTCAGCGATTAGCAATGAGAGCCTTCAGCACACAGCCCAAAGGCCACACACACTCTCATCCCAATATTCTTACTCTTTGGTACCATCTCGCCTCTGATGACTTTGGAACCAGGCTCAGGATATTCACCAATCTTGACAAGAACGTAATGAGCTGGCTGGCGCAATTCGAATCTGGTCCGGGACTCATGTCTTTTCGGACTTTCTCAATACTTCCAAGGGAGCTCCGCGATTATTATTATTATTATTATTATTAGAGGGGGGTGGGTTTCTCCATGCACCGCGACTAATAATCTATTGTACGTCCCCCTTTGATATTCTATCAGTCGCCATACCCTACCGGTCCTTGTGTGTGCTATCAGCCCCGTTCAGCCAACGAAGTCGGCCCTCGGTACCTGATACTTCCCCCATCTACTTGGGCGGGAAATAGTTGCCTAATTTAGCTCAGAGGTCTCCTAGAGACATGAGGTTCTTTTACACGCCGTAAATCTACGACACGGGACACACAGCTTAAAGTCCTTCCCGGAGGACTTGTTCCCTGAATTTTTCCGCCCTTAAAAATTCCACGTACCTTGAGTCATGAGATGGGAACGTTACCCCTAGACTACGGAGGCCGCTTGAGCTCCGCGATAGTAGTTTCATTAGGTCACGACCGCCTACTTCCAAACCCGTTCCACTTCATCACCAATCGATGCTGTACTGCCTCTAAGGAGAAGCTGAATGACAGGAGAGGGATAACCTGGAGAACTGCCGGTGTGATTAATGCGATTAGGCAGTCAGTGGGCTCGAGAAACAGCCACCTGTGCTGAAGCATCTCTGATTAAACCAAACGACGACCAGATCAGTCGGTGCGACCGACCTTGGAGGCGTGCTTAGATGTACTGGAATTTATTGCGTGTGCTACACGTACGTGGGCCTGCTGCAGTCCAAAACGCAGACCTAATCTGTCCAGGCAGTAAAATTGTGAAATTGGAGGAGGTTTTTGGGCGGTTGGCTGTATAAAAAATAAGAACAAGTCGATTAGTTTGCCATGTTGTGTACACCTTGAAAACAACTTCTGGTGCGGCCTCTGTGATACGTGATGAAATTTAAAAACTCGCTCTCCGCAGA